GGAAAGCCAAACAAAGTAGTTTCACTTTCACAACGAAACACACCACGTCACACACGGCGGGCTAGAGTGAGCAGAGGCGGCGGATTCGACTAAGGAGCGTCCGGCAGGCTTGCAGCAACCACATGTGATGACCCCGGGCTGGACTCCGCTTCGTCCACGGTGAACACAACGAAACACACAGCGTTTCCACGACATAGTGGCGGCGGCAACAACAATACTACAGCGAGAATAAAAGTTACTCCTTCTTTCTTTGCGTGAACATTTGGGCGGCGTTATGCAAATCTTCCCACATCGTGATGTAGACATGTGGGGGCGTGTTAGAATGAGCCGTTTTAGGTAGGTGTGGCTGACTCTTAACTTTTATAAAGAATATCTCTTTGGATTTGAGACTTTAGTCTTTGCAACTTTACAGATCTTCTTTATGCACCAAGAGCTTGTAACACTCCAAAGAGAAAGGAAAAATTGAAATCGCATCAGATGACCCCTTTAACAATGCTCCGCACACTTATATTCATACATTGTTTTGCTGTAGAAGACATGAATTCATCCATTGGTTTGTACTGATTACAGTCATGATGTGCTTTTTAGACCTTCAACATTTTAGCGTGTATTCATTTGCATTTATATGTACATTACCACTAGTTTTGGGTTGGGAAGATATTTTTGTTTTTGAAAAGTTTTTTAGGCTCTTCCGAGGTTGTATTTATTTGATCAAAAATATTTATTTGATCAAAAATTGAGCAAAACCAGTAATATTGTGAAATATTTTTACAATTTATAATTGTTGTTTTCTACTGTGATCTAGCCCTATTAAAAAAAAAAATTGTATTCCTGTAATGGGAAACTGAATTTACAGCATCATTACTGCAGTCTTCAGTGTCACATGATCCTTCAGAAATCATTATGCTGATTGGGTGCTCCAGAAACAATAATAAACTACTAATTTGCTGCTGTTATTAATAGTTAATAAAGTACTCATTAAGTTTATGTATTGGGTAGGATTAGGGATGTATTATATGGTCATGCAGAATATGTGCTTTATAAGTATTAATAATCAGCCAATATGTTAATAATAGGCATGCTAACAAGCAACTAGTTAATAGTGAGAAATGGTCCCTATACCAGATTGTTACCCAAAATACAAAAGAGCGGCATTTATATGAAATAGAAAACTTTTGTGACATTATAATGTCTTTACTTTCACTTTCCTTACTGAATAAAAGTATCAGATTTTTAAAAATCTTACTGCCCGCAATTTTTTGAGCAGTAGTGTATTCACAGAGATGGATTTTTATTTAATAGAAATCTTCATTTGTGTTAATTTGAATAAAATTATATGCATCTGTGATGGCATGAGAGTGAGTAAATGATTTTTTCTCTTTAAGAGAACTTTGGTTGGCTTTTTTTATGAAAAGAGACACTTAATGGTGTAACTGGAGACATGAAGAATAGAGAGTGCAGTGGAGGAATGAAGGAAGCTGGTTTCTTTTTTTCTTTTTTTGAGTTCTGGGAATGCAGTTCTGCTAGTGGAAGTGGTGAGACGGGAAACATGTGGGACCTCTTCCTGACTGCTCCCTGACCCACTTGAGCACTAAAACGGCAAAGAGAGGATACTGAAACGCTCGTGTCTGAAAAAGGAAATGTATTCTGTCACATAAGTTTTATACAAGTGAAACTTGACATTTTAATGCCCCAGTTTTGTACCAGAGTCGACAGAATATATCACTAGCATGTGTGTTAAAATCATTTCAGCCTTTTTATTGGAAGGCCTAGTGCATTTTCTGTGTTTTGCTACCTTTACTCTCATGTTTTACAGCTCAACAGCGCTTGTCCACTTTTTCAGCGTCCTTGGTTTCAGAATATTTTTTGCATTCATTTTTTTATTCAATTTTAAAATATCTTCATTTAGATACAGGTAGTTATTTGGCAAAATATGCATATATAAACATTAACATATAAGTTGTCTTGAGAGCTGGTAGACTGACTCAGATAAGGAGAACATTGCTTGAATTCTTTCAGAAGGATACCAGCGTTACAAACGAGTGACGAGAGATACTAGTTTATCTTTAAAAAGACCCTGATCATTTCAGTCTGATCTAAACAGGGAATGGGGCAGTTAAAACTCCTTGAATGTTTCAGTTGTTTTTAAATCCCTCAAGTGTTTCATGATGTGCTCTGTCTTTTCTTGTACAGTTTTAACACCATTATTGCCTACATCGATGACCAGTTTGAGCGCTACCTGCATGATGAGAGTGGACTCAACCGTAGGCACATTGTGGACAACCGTGTGCACTGCTGCTTTTACTTCATTTCCCCTCTGGGTCACGGGTGAGCTCTTTTTTTTACTCAACTGAGAGACATTTTCTGACACCTTCCACTGCCATAGGTGTGAGTTTAAGTCTTCACACCGTTCTATTCTGGATTTAAATGGCTGATTTTCCTATGCTTCAATTGTGTAGGCTGAAGCCTCTAGATGTCCAATTCATGAAGGCCATTCACAACAAAGTGAATGTCGTTCCTGTTATTGCTAAAGCAGATACGCTGACGCTGAGGGAGAGAGAGAGACTCAAGCGCAGAGTAAGCCATTCAGATTTCTTTCCAAAGATGGATTGATCATATGTTTGGTTTGTTGGCTATATGCATTTCTTTACGGGCTCTAGATTCTGGATGAAATCGATGAGCATGGCATCAAGATCTATCACCTCCCTGATGCCGAGTCTGATGAGGATGAAGATTTCAAAGAGCAGACCCGGATTCTCAAGGTATGTGTTTTTTTTCCTCCTCTTCATCTTTCTGTTGTAGGCCAGCATACCGTTCGCCGTGGTGGGATCCAACCAGCAGATTGAGGCTAAGGGGAAGAAAGTGAGAGGGCGTTTGTACCCATGGGGTGTGGTGGAGGTAGAAAACCCAGAACACAACGACTTCCTCAAACTTCGCACCATGCTAATGTAAGTAATTTTAAGTTATCTGCTATTCAGTGTTCTAAAATTCTTGATTCTACACACTAAAAAATGAGGCTGTGAAGAAAATTTGAGTTGAGTTTAGTCTACAAAACACAAAATATGAGTTGTAATACTTTTAAACAGTCAAATATATTAAATGGACTGTACCTCTGTCCTTCTCAGCCTCATTTTCATTCTAAGATAATGTCCTATTTCTCGGTCTCTGTCATTATTGTCTATTGATGGTTATTGTCATCCGTCCAGCACCCACATGCAGGACCTGCAGGAAGTTACTCAGGACCTTCACTACGAGAACTTCCGCTCGGAGCGCCTCAAACGGGGCGGCAGGTTGTCCTCCCACGGTTATATTCTGCCTCTGTCGCCTGCGTACGTACTGCTCTGCTTGTCTTTCTTCACCTCCTCCCTCAACCTCCATGAAAAAAACCCAGCTTTGTGAGTGTAGCCACAGAATATTTGAATATCCCAAACCTGGCAAGACTTAAGTGGATGTATAAAAATAGCACATTTTTACATAGTCTACTTCTCACTTTGCTGAAGACAAATATAGATAGTCATTTGATAGCAGAAATTAAAGGAGAAGAGCAGCATTGCTTTGTCTGGTTTAAGCTGAATCAGTTGATAAACTGTGTTCCATACACTCTAGAGACTAAAGCTTCAGCTGTAAGGTGTGCTGTGTTGACTCTGCAGCGAGCCGTCGGATCTGTGTTCATCAGAGGATAGGAGGGGGAGGTACTGCTGGGAGCTCAGTCACAGCTCCACCTATCCTTCAGCCTGACGCTAGCACTGGCTCTGCTCCTCTTACTGCACACAGACTCTGTTTCAGTCTCACTCATGCAAATACTCAAATACAACATCCTCCGTAACTTTCTGCTCCGCTTATCACACGCTTGCGCTATTAACATGGATTTGTCCTTCTTGTCTTGCCTAAACTCTGCAATGCAAAGCACTTTGCTGGTGGTTTACTAATACAGTTTTTGTCCTGTTGTTTGTTAAATCACAGTTTTCATAATTTAGCAAATACTATTTTGCTAATTGATGTAAATGCTGTGTAATTTTAAGAGCTGTCAATGAATGATTGTATTTATTTATTTATTAATTTATTTCAAAATCAGCACAAATTAACAAATTCATGCCCTATATTTTTCTATCATTGAAGCAGTTTAATCTTAAATGCTGAACAGTTTTGCAAAAAAAGCAATTTTATATATATATATATATATATATATATTTTTTTTTTTTTTTTTTTTTTTTTTTTTTTTTTAGTCATAGTGATAATATTTGTTATAATTATCTTAATTTGAGGGCTTTTCTCTGCAAATATTGATATGAATTTAATTGAGTACTTGCAAAATTAAGATAAAATTGAGAAATTGATTCATACATTCCTATATTTGGTTTAAATGCCAAGCATATTTTTGCAATAGAAAAATAAACAGATTTATAGTGTTATTATTAAATTATGTCTGCTTTTGTTTTCCTGACTTTGGAACAGGAATATCTTAAATAACAAGTATTTTTTTAGTGAAATAATAGTTTTACACTAAAATATGCTTGGCATTTATGTAGGCTATATGTAGATTTTTTCCCCCCCTAATCATTGAATATCTCCATCCAAAAAAATATTTATATTCATTTGAGGGCTTTTTTTTTTTCAGCAAATATTTATATGCTTTTAATTCTGATTAATAGACTAATTAGGCTCCTTGACATTTCATTAGAGTTTAATTTTTTTAAACAATTGACAGTTTTGTTTTGACAACAGGAGAAAGTAATTGTGAAGCCTGTGTGTGTCACAAATGACTGTTTATTACATATCAGTGCTCAGTACAGCTGTGTGTGCATCTCTTTATACCTGCTATATATACGTGCAGGAAGGCTCCGGAGCCAGAGGAAATGGACAAGGATATAATCTTGCAGGAGAAGGAGGCTGAGGTATGATCTCTCAAACCAAACACAAGCTGAATGCTAATAACACAAATGTTTGAGTGTGACACTGTTTGTGTGTTTCTCAGCTGAGGCGAATGCAGGAGATGATCGCTAGGATGCAGGCGCAGATGCAGAAACAGGGAGACGGAGATGGTGACAGCCCACACGTGTGAGAAAAACGGTAAGAGCTCATTACAAACATAAATTAAAACCCCAGATCAACACAACCAAGTCTGTGGTCACAGTATAGTGACCGACTCGTTAAGTACAAGCAGTTCTGCCATCTGAGCTGGTCTTCAGCATTTGATGTTTTGTTTAATAATATTGCCACAGTTTTGTAGTGTGATCAATTCAGTGACAATGATATACCAATAAAGAAGGAGCAATCCTTTTAGTGTTTTCATTTTATTTTCTGCCCACAAAAATTGAAGCAGGGTAAAATTAAGAATTAATAAAAGTCAAACAAAATGCCAAGGCATTTTAAATATGGGGGCACAAAACACTAATTAATTCCTATGGAAGCCCTTTCCGCCACTGAATAAAAAAGGTAGTTGCGACTTTTTATCTCACAATTCTTACTTTTTTTCCTCATAATTGCGTGATTTAAACTCGCAATTGTGAGTTTAAAAAGTCATAATTGCGTGATATAAACTCGCAATTGTGAGTTAAAAAGTCATAATTGTGAGATATAAACTCGCAATTCTGAGAAATAAAGTCAGAATTGCGTGATATAAACTCGCAATTGCGAGACATAAAGTCGCAATTCTGAGAAATAAAGTCAGAATTGCGTGATATAAACTCGCAATTGCGAGACATAAAGTCGCAATTCTGAGAAATAAAGTCAGAATTGCGTGATATAAACTCGCAATTGCGAGACATAAAGTCGCAATTCTGAGAAATAAAGTCAGAATTGCGTGATATAAACTCGCAATTGCGAGACATAAAGTCGCAATTCTGAGAAATAAAGTCAGAATTGCGTGATATAAACTCGCAATTGCGAGACATAAAGTCGCAATTCTGAGAAATAAAGTCAGAATTGCGTGATATAAACTCGCAATTGCGAGACATAAAGTCGCAATTCTGAGAAATAAAGTCAGAATTGCGTGATATAAACTCGCAATTGCGAGACATAAAGTCGCAATTCTGAGAAATAAAGTCAGAATTGCGTGATATAAACTCGCAATTGCGAGACATAAAGTCGCAATTCTGAGAAATAAAGTCAGAATTGCGTGATATAAACTCGCAATTGCGAGACATAAAGTCGCAATTCTGAGAAATAAAGTCAGAATTGCGTGATATAAACTCGCAATTGCGAGACATAAAGTCGCAATTCTGAGAAATAAAGTCAGAATTGCGTGATATAAACTCGCAATTGCGAGACATAAAGTCGCAATTCTGAGAAATAAAGTCAGAATTGCGTGATATAAACTCGCAATTGCGAGACATAAAGTCGCAATTCTGAGAAATAAAGTCAGAATTGCGTGATATAAACTCGCAATTGCGAGACATAAAGTCGCAATTCTGAGAAATAAAGTCAGAATTGCGTGATATAAACTCACAATTCTAACTATTTTTCTCAGAATTGCATGATATAAACTCGCAATTGCGAGTTAAAAAGTCATAATTGTGAGATATAAACTCGCAAATCTGAGAAATAAAGTCAGAATTGTGAGATATAAACTCGCAATTCTAAGAAATAAAGTCAGAATTGCGTGATATAAACTCACAATTCTAACTATTTTTCTCAGAATTGCGTGATATAAACTCGCAATTGCGAGACATAAAGTCGCAATTCTGAGAAATAAAGTCAGAATTGTGAGATATAAACTCGCAATTCTAAGAAATAAAGTCAGAATTGTGAGATATAAACTCGCAATTCTAAGAAATAAAGTCAGAATTGTGAGATATAAACTCGCAATTCTAAGAAATAAAGTCAGAATTGTGAGATATAAACTCGCAATTGCGAGTTATAAAGTCAGAATTTCGAGATATAAAGTCACAATTGCGAGGTATAAAGTCAGAATTGCGAGATATAAACTCGCAATTGGGAGAAAAAAAGTCAAAATTGCGAGTTTTTATCTCGCAATTGTGACTTTATATCTCGAAATTCTGACTTTATAACTCGCAACTGTGAGTTTATATCACGCAGTTCTGAGAAAAAAATATTCAGAATTGTGAGATAAAAAGTCGCAATAACTTTTTTTTTTATTCAGTGGCGGAAACGGGCTTCCATAAATTCCTCTCTTTTACTTTGTTAAAAAATTTAATACTTTGTTCATGTACACAAATCGACATATATTGCATAAAAACTCGCAAAGTAATTAATATTGAGTAACTGACCATTCAGAGAAAAATTGGCCATTTATTTTTTATTAAATATACAATTGGGGGTGTGACTGGTTTTTGTTTGTGTTTCTTATAGATGCTGACCTGTCATTCGAGCTTGACCCAGTCAGACATGAAACGAGAAGAGGAAGTGTTGCTAAATGTGGAAAAAGAGGAGAGACTGGTCCTTAGCTCATCTTGCTTGCCATTTTCTTAGTTTCTTTCGCTCTTGTATGATTTAATATTTTTTGTCAAGTTTTTTTGGCATTTTATTCAAATGCTGTTGCTAATATTCATTCATTTTTTCCCCCTGTTCAAGTAATCAAAAATGAAGAACAACCATCAGTAATTAAGAAAACTTTTTCTGTTACAAAAGCCAAATGCTGCTGGGAAGGAATCTTCTACAGTAGAGCACCTTTAATAGTAGTGTAGCTCCATGACCACTCTAAGTCATTTCTATCTCATCTAGCTAAAGAAACACTGTGAGAATACAAGCAGCTGTTGAATTTGAGTGTCACGGTGGCAGTTTTTGGAGAAACCATTTTATACTGTTCCTAAGTGTTGCCAGAGAGATTGCTGTCCTCCTGAACAGGAGTTTTCTGTACTTATCTCTTCCCTTCATGAAGTCTTGAAATATGTGCTGCTCGGTTGAATGGTCCCCAAACGGATGCAAGACATTATACTGTGACCCATGATTCATTCCCTATGCCATCTAATGAAGAAGAATACGTTGTTCTCTAATGTTAAAGCTCATTTAGCTGATTTTTATATGTACTTAAGTGCATACTGCCATGCATTTACTATCAGACATTCTTCTGGTATGAGTGCGATGTGAAATTTACTTAGTGGAGTGAAATTCGGATACATTGAAATATGCTGTTGTGCTCTTCAACCTTGACGCATGCCAAGTTTTTACCTCCTCCTTTTGGGATCTATGGTTAAAATATTTTATCTTATTCCTGTGGTTGAATCTAATTTCCACATCATTAATAATGAATAATTCAGATGTATCTGAAATGTAGGTTTCTATCTGTTACGCAAAAGCAAATATCACTTTTTTTATACAGTTGAATTTCCTTTCCATATTTGTCATGAAAACTGCAGTAAACATTCCAGTTTTAATGTTTCACTTGAGAACTTTCTATTAAACCATTATTGTCTGTCATCTTGTAATAAAATTTTGTATTGAACCAGTTTTGGGGTTTGCCCTTTTCTTTTTGGCTATTCACTTCTTACTTTGCTGTTGATTATAACAGGAAGGACTTGTCAAAAAAAGGGTGCCTATTTTTTGTTTTTTTGTTAGTACAAAACAGTATCGGCAGCCATATCACCCTGTAGCCCAAGACTGGTTGCCCACTGAAGCTAAGCAGGGCTGAGCCTG